GACTTGTCCCAACTCTTACTCTTCTTCTTACCACCATCATCACTCGAGTCACTACTTGAATCACCACTATCTTGATCTCTGCCCAAACTTATCTACTTAAACTTCATTCTACTCATCATCATATACAACTCACCATTTCTCTTATTTTCCTTTTCTACCTTAATCTCCATATCCTTACTCTTAAGGGAATATATGACAATTTCAGGTGGTAGGGTGTTCCTACCATACTTAATTGCATTTTTAACCTCTCTATATGAATCAGACATAGAATTTAGCAAAATGATGGTATTATAAGTTTCAGACACCTTCTCGTCAAAGTTAACGATATCTTGAACCAACTTGTTAAAAACAACAAAATTGTCATCAAGATCCTTTGAAAGATCTATTTTAAAGCTAAAAATCTTTTAAACAAATACAATTTATTCGGAGTAGACTTAAGCAAATATAAATCCTCCAACTTTTGCCAAAGTTTTTTAGTAGAATCAAGTTTTCCAACTTTTTCTCAAAACAACATCAAACAAGTGTAAAATAATTGAAATGTATGCAAGTTCATCATATTCTTCTTTTTGTGCTTCTGTTAAATCTGCATGAAATTTGTCATCTATGATTTTTGAAACTTTTTGTTGAATCAAAATCCCCTTCATCTTTTGTTGTCAAATTTGAAAGGTCCCATTTCCAATTGAAAATTTCAAATTTGACATGTGAAGACATTTTGAAAAACAGAACAACCAAAAAATTGGACAAATAGGTCACATAAAGTAATCCTAAGGCAACAAAATACACTGTTCTAGATTCCCATGGTTTTGCAAGATTCACGATCTTAGATCAAGGGAATGTTTGAACGGGTCAAGTCTAGGTGTTCTAACTGAATAGCCAATGCAACACGAATGTATATCAACCAAAAATTTAAATTTCCACACAATGCAATCTCACACAGAGACCAAACAACAATTAAAGTGCCCAAAAATAATTACCAGCTTGCAGACAAAATTCAACACTTCAAATACGGCAAATAATTCCTAAATTTCTAGCACAAACAATGGTTACCCCTTCACGGTAACCCCAATCATAATGTCACCCCACACGATAATGCTCTAATGCTAAAATTTAAACGGGATAAGCCAATTTACCAGAGCAGACCTATCTGAGTCCGTAAATTTCGAGGAATATAATTTTAACACTTTAGGGCCACCACTATTCGTCCTAAAGTTTGCAGCAATTGATAGAATGCAAAACTGAATCCCGAACGAGTAGGGGCAAAATCGTCCAAATTCCATTGTATGGCCTGAAACAAAAAACTAACACCACAAACATGTTAGAAAAAATGTTAAGATAAAATTGCCCGAAGGAAGTTTCGCCAAAGAAGCCTACACGGGCCACCACACGCCTCACCGGAACTGCAACGCGCCGCCGCGTCGGCAACCGTCACCCCTACGCACCGGACAGGCAGGAGGGCCTCTGCTTGCACAGTCCACCAGTTGCCTCCGTCCGTCCAACCGGTCACTGGATTGGCTGGAAATCCCACTTGCAGATCCGATTTTCTTGAAGAAATCCGGGCAGAATTTTTCAATAGCTTTCTTCGCCGATTTTGGAGCTATCTTTGCAGGAAATACACCACCAACATGGCTCTGATACCAATTGTAAGAATATGTACTTCAATCAACCAAAAACAGGGCTCAGTTTACCAACCAAATCAACACCCAATCGATTGAGCCAAAACCTTTCCACTATTCCTCTCTTGGCTGCTTTCAATTGTACCCACTTAGGACACAAAAGGGAATATGTTTTTCAGCCCCAAATAGAAGCCACAAAGGCTCGGAATAATGAGAAGATGAACAAGATAACTTACTAGCCGGAAGCACAAAGCACAAAGGGAAGCAGTCGTATCTCTCTCTCAAATAAAAGGGGCTAAAAAAGTCTTCGAATGACAAAGTCGTGAAGAAGGGAAATATATAGAATCACTTAGGGTACAGTAATGGGCCAACCCAATAAGAAGATAGTAAGTGGGCCGAATAAGCCATTCACTAAGTGAGGAACTGAGCTATGAGCAACTCTAACTAATTAGACTGCTTCCAATGGTCCTAAATAGTTTTAGGGTTGGGGTCATCAATATTAGGTGTCGATACAATACTTATCCAACATCAATTTTACATCATCGTCCGGATTTATTGGGTATCAAAATACCTAACAGTAGTTTTTCATGTCAAACTGATGGAAAGGTGAGATTTCCAACTTCCTTTCAATTACTTTGCAGGTGAGAAGTATTTGTTGCAAAATTTCCTTGTCAAGTAGTCTTGTGTAGTGATACTGGCATGTTGCTCAAACTCCAACCATTTCAATGCACCATCCTCCAGTGTGTGTAAGAATATACAAGAGTATGTGAATTGAGATTTTGGCCCATCTTGAAAAATCTCGAAACACGGGTATTAGGATTAGCATTGAAAGTTATTGATGAATGAATTGATCAAATTAGTGTTTATCTATAAATTCTTCCCAAACTCTAGATATATCACGTTAGAGCGCTCATGCACTGTTGCTAAAGTAGAAAGTTGTGCAACATCAGAATCTCCCTCATCAATTTCCACTGCTTCAAGTTGCTAACTTTGTGGCATCACTAGCCTAGCAGCTTCTTGCGCAATGGTAAATCTCACTTGATCATTTGCCATTTGAATTTTCTATTTTTATTTATGTTCATTGAGTTCGTCTGAATGTACGTTCTATTTTCAGGTCCAATGGTTGTCATCTTGTGAATGGAGCATACAACGAACACATTTTTACCTATAAAAAAGAAAAATGAAAATAATCAAATAAAATCAAAGTTAAGTAACTCAAGATTAAATATTAATAATCCTGACAATGGCGTCGAAAGGTGTTGTGTTTTTCATCGCTAGTATTTACGATATCGTAACAAGTAATATAGTGAACGTATGCATTTCAAATGATTGTTCCCACTAATATTGTTATTTAATTCATAATTTACTGTTTCAAGCTCCTGAATGACGAAAAATAA